AACAGTGGGCTAAAATTGGCTGTCAAACAGGCAAAACTCCTTGCTGACTTCATCTGCCATTACTGCAGCCATTATTAAATTTACCATTTTTACAGCATCAGAACTTAAAATACTCTAAACAACAGAAAAACCTCTATGGACATTTGCTGACTTCAGAAACCAGGGGCAGAATGCAGAACAAACTAATTACATGTAGCAAAGCTCACAGGAATCACCTTGGATTTCCTGCATGAAAAAGCTGGAAAAAACATAAGCAAAGAGACATATCTTTCCTTAACACATCATAGTTTTGTGTTTCTAGAAAGAGGACACTCCATCCAGCTGCAAAGGCCTAGGAGTAAGAAGTTCCATCTCAAGCTTCTTAAGGCCTTTTTTTCCCCCCCATTCAGGCACTGCTGTTAAGCATGGAGCATGTGTGGTATATTTAATAAAAGTAAGATGGTTACAAATACTTAGTTCTGTAACAGGTAGAATTTTCATTTGGTTTTCCTAAAGGAAAACTGTCCTTTTTGGTTGCTTAGGAGGGATCATGCAAGTCTTGGAAACAAGTGAAGATATGAATACTCACAAGGGGAAAAAATGTACAAATCTTAACCATCCACGGAGTTAAGTATGTCCCAGTGTTGAAGATGATTATGATGCTGAACAAGTGCCCTCAAGTGACAAAACAGTGAGGGATTTCATAATATCCTTAGATACGCTGTCCTTGCTTAGTACCTCTTCTCTTGATCAAGCTGCATTTCAGACATTTGACTTAACCCAATCTCAATTATTGGTGTGCAGATATACTGGGATTTGAGTCCTAATGAAAATGAGGCAAATGTTTGGTATCATTGTTACACTTGCAACCTGTATGTTTTTGCGATTTCTCTAGATGTACCACAAAGACACTATCCAACCCCACAGGAATGAGCCAAGTAAGGACTATGCAAACATCATCTGTCTTAAAGAAAGGAATTGCAAAACTCCTAAAGATGTTCCTCAGTCAAATCAGTTGGAAATATCCCAGTAGCAAGAGGCTGAAGGCAGTAAGTAAGGAATAGAGGAAGACCAGAGATGATCCTGGATTTTCTCCTTTGTGCTTGAACATTTCTGTGACAATAAGGACCTGTTTCATTCTGTGATCTAAGGACAAGAGATAGTCTCCAGGAGGTCTGCCAGCATGTCTCAAAACAGAATCGCTACTCTTTCACCAGTGAAGGAAAGCTGTATCTTTGATGATTCTCCCATGGTTAAGGTTTGTTCAACACTAGTATCATCACTCCCTTACACTAGGCATAATGACTGCTATCTGCAGCTAACATGAAGATAGGCCCAAATGTCACTTGCAATACTCCAAGATATTTCACAGAAATTCACTGGGGGGTGGCAATGTCAACAAGATCTTTTCCTGTGCTCAAGCTTGTGAGAGTGAATCCAGGCCAAACATGAGGGGTTTTTAAACAAAGAATCTTTGGAGAGAGGACGAAATGTTTCTTAGTTGACTGAAGGACCTTTAGAAAAATTCTATTGCTCCAGACTACATAAACAGACAGGCAGAGAAAAAACGAAAAGCAAACCAACATCAGGTAACTCATTTTTTTCTCCTAGAATACTGAACAGTATATAACTCTATGTCAAAACCAATATGACCACTGAAACTCTCCAAAAACGCCCAGCAATCTTTACATGTAATCTGTAAACAAAGACCACCTCCAAGAGCAATTTAAGCATGGGAGCAGACTGATTAACTTATAGAGCTAAATTGTTGAGAATAAGGTTTGTGAAGACCTGCATCTTTGAATCTCAGTGCTCAAAATACTCAACATGCTTAAACACTACTAAAATCATCAAGTTTTCAAAGCTTTTCTTCTCAAAGGCGAAAAATACAGAAAGCCTATGGCTAGAGACAGCAATCAAACTGTGACAACGATGTGCTTTCATTAGCTTGATTACATTGTTTCAGCCAGGTTTATCTAAAGCATAACCCTTCAATACTTGGAACCATGACTACTGTCTTGTAGACAAGCTGGCATAGTTGGCACATGGACTAAAAGATCAAGTACAAGCAGCCCTCTGTTATAGCCTACACAAAGGGAGAAATTACATTGCTAGGCTGATACAATTTTCTGAAGGTGTTATTCTCCGGAATCTGACTGTGATTTCTTAAAAATAAGCTTGTCGCTCATATAGCTGTGAAGACAACATTGAAAATGTGAACTAGCATAAACCAACATGTTCCCAAATGTGAAAACAACCCCAAATCATCTCTCCAAGTAAAAACTGGCCAAATCATCACAATGATTGTTAATTTGGAAGACTAACATAGATTTTCAAGATTTCACAAACAAAGCATTGTGACAGTAGGACCACCAGGAAAAGAAGTCCAGTCTTACAAATGTAATGTACTCATTCTTGACATTTGGCAAATGAGTAAGATTGGACCCGGATTGATACCATTCACTCTCATCTCTCCTTTAACTCTCAGTCTGCACACAGAGCAGGTGTCTCAGGACCAAGAGCCAAGAGATCTTAAGTCCAAGGTTTGGCAGTTTCTCAGTCTGCTCAAAGCAAGCTGGAAGTTTACTATTTGTGAAGAACACTATTCATTATGCCTATCACTAACATTCAACAAATAAATATATAGATCCTTACCAAAATGTCAGCTGTTCAATGTTAAAGCAAAATGTGCATCTTCCTGATTGATGGAAATAAATTGAGTATTTCCAACATGGAATTCAGATTCATCTGACATTAAAATGTCTTGCTCTTGGAATCTTAAGTCAATTCCAACTAACTTGGATCACAGCTCCCTCATCATGTTCCTCAGTAGCAAAACTCTTGCTTAGAGTTGATCTGCTTTAGTTAGTTCAGTGCAGCCTTCTCCGATGGAGGCTTTATTGACAGCTCTGTTCCTAATTCTCACATTCTCTACCCTCCCTTTTTAACTCCATGTGCCCACTTCCAGTTAGAGGTGTTACGCCCCCCCCCCCAAAGAAAAATGCTAAGAGGAAAAGCATCAGGCCCTTAGCTTTCTGAATTAATTTTGGGGTACTGCATTTGAATGCCTTCTAAGTAGAACGAATATGTATAGTATATTTCAATTTGCCTTCTTACTGGATAAATTTATCTCTTCCCGACTATCACATTTTCCTGATCTGTAAAAAAAAACAAAAAACCAAAACCCAAAAAAAAATATAAAGGAGCTCACCAGTATTACAGAAAGCAGAGCTTACTTTGAATACATCAGTGAGTTCTTCCAATTCTCACTTGTCAACCATTTGCACAAATTCTTGAAATGGGACTTCACAGGCGTGTAAAGTTAAGAGAGTCTGTGAGTGACCACATGACGACAACTTATATAAGTTATATACACACATCAAAAAGAATCGATCTCTTAGCAAACTACTGTTGCCAGACCAAATTCATCAGCTAAAATCACTTACTCTCCATTCTTTTCAGAGTATCACTGAGACTTTTAGGATGCCATGAAAATGGAGTTTTAATTCGTTAAAGTAACTACACACTACAGGATTAAGTATTTGTACTTGGCAAACAAGTATCAACTTTACATGAATGCTTACAACTTGTGTTCATATTTATTCAAGAAAAAATGCCCCATTATCATGTCAACCTTCCACTGAGGGTTGGTTTCTTTTTTAAGCGGATTATTATATTTTATATTTTGGCATATACGAAAGAATATGACACTAATTGGTTCTTAACATGCATTCAGATGAGAAGTTACCATCCATCACGTCAGGGTCTACTTTAACACTAGTTGTAAGTTAAAATGCTCTTTACGGAACCATTACAATACATTATTATCAGTAATCCTGCTACAGATGGACACTATTAGTTTTCCTTATTAACGTTGTTGCAGTTGAGAACAGTACAGAGCACACCTTGATTTCGTGCATGTGGGCACACATTGCCACTGCTCACAGAGCAGAAAGAATTTTGCAAGGCACATGGCAACATGCATCAGTCCACATGCCAAAATCCTTAGGAAAACCGTTACTGCACGTGTGCAGCAAATTGAGTTCCAGCTGAAATTCTGAGGTATCATTTTTTCCCTCCCAGTACCAAAACTGCCTTCTTGCCATTAGGTAAAATAGCTATTCGTTAAGATGTATTTTTCAATACGCGCCTTTTTCGTAGATACTGAACCATAAACCATCATTCCGATCTCTACACACTTCTCCCTTCCATCAACCTTTTCGGTTTTTTTTTTTCCCCTTATAGAATAACCGTAGCACTTCGCCCAATTAGCGTTCCTTAAATAACCGAAAGGACAAACAGCGGTGCCTTGAAGCCGAGACGTTTTTTGACAAGTTTCAGACCAGAGCACAATCACAATCAAGTTACAAGACCTAGGAACACGGAGGTTTGCAATACTGACACAGCCCCCCCCCCCCCCCCCCCCCCCCGAAAACGGCAGCTGCAGGCTCGGTGTGCCGTGTTACCTCTCCCCCGGGCGCAGCACACCAGGTGGATGCCCACTTTCTCCCCCATCTCCGAAAGGGATTCTGGCTCGGACACGCACGGAGGGAGTACGCTGGGGCAGGCAGGGGTGCCCGGAGCGCCTTCCTCCCCCTACCGCTCCGGCCCGGTGGAAGCTCACCAGCCCACAGCACCGGCTCCGTCAGGCGGCTGAAACTCCGGCCATCCCGGTGCTCACAGCCGCCGCCTCCCCACCGCCCCCTGCCTGCCCCAGGAGCGCGGCACCCCGCAGCGCCGCCGGGTGGGAGTCGCCGTCGCCGCCCGCCCCAGAGGCGGTGGAGGGGCCACCGGCGAGGCTGACATAATCCTGCGAAAGCGGCGACCGCAGACGCCGCCGGCTCTCTCCCGCCAGCCTCCCAGGGTACGCTGCCAGAGCTCTCCCTTCCCCAGGGTGCCCGGGCCGTGTCCCAGTCCCCAGCCTCCCGCTCCGGGCTCCACGGCGGGGCGGGGGCGGCGCCCGATGGCCCCGTGCCCGGCCCCCTGTGCTCTCCCAGCCCTCCCGTGCCCCCCGGTCTCACCTAGGAGCGGCGGCGGCGGAGAGATGAGCTGCCGAGCCCGGCGGAGGCGGGGAGCGGCGGGGGGGCCCGACGTCTGCTCCGCAGCTGCTACCCCTCCGCGCTGAGCATCTTCCCCGCGCCCCGCGGTGAGTCAGGCAGGGCGAGCGCCGCGGAGCCGCGCACACCGGAGCCCCCACCGCCCTTCCCGTCCAGCCGCTGCCGCGCGCGCCCCCGCCAGCTCCCCGCTTCCCCCCCCACCCGCCTTCGCGGGTGCTCGCGCGCGCGTCCTGGTCCGCGCTGCTCCCGGAGGGGGGATGGGGGGTGTGGGTAAGGTAAGGGGTGTGAGGGGCGGAACACGGGGAAGCGCGGAGCGGAGCGGCGCGGGCGCGCGCCCGCGCGCGCGCTCACCGCAGCTCGGTGCGGTGCCGGCGCCGCGCGGGCTGCAGCGGGCGGGAGCTGCCGCGGCGCCTCCCCTCTGCCCCCGCCGTTACTATGGATATGGGCCCGGCCTCTCCTCCGCGCCCGCCCTCGCAGGCGGCCGGCGGCGCGGTGCCGCACAGCGGGGCGCTCCCGCAGGGCTCCGCTGCCCCGGGCCGGGTGGGGGCCGGCTTGCGGAGCTCGGGCGGCTGTGGGAGCCCGCAGCCAAACTCTGTGCCCGGCGGCAGCTGGCGGGAACCTTTCCCTGCTCCCTCGGCAGAAACATTTTTTGGTTGATTTTTAACGCCAGCGTTTAAATAAATCTTGGTCGAGCTCTCTGCTTCCTGCGTTAATACGACCAAATAAGCATCCCGCAGGATTGTTTACTCCGGTAACTGTACCCCGTTAAGCAGCACCCGCGCTAATAAGGGAAATAAACCACAGAAGGTGACGCCCCTGTAATTTAACTTTACAAAAGGCCAGGGGACAGAGTTGCACTTTCAGTCCCCCATGGCAGTTCTTATCTCCTGCTCTGCTTCCCCAAGGAAGTTACACACTTGATGGCTAAGTGCATTATCTGACAAGATCAGCCAGCAGAACCTGCAAGAAACGTTTTACCAAGTATAAAAATTTTACTTGGTTATGGCAGGTGAAGTGTTCGGTTTCTAATGCAGGCTGCGTTTCCCTGGCTTGTTTACAGCAGATCTCACCAAGAAGGCAGCCAGTCAGTTGCCTCAGGCCCTGATCCTGCCTCCAAAGCTACCAAGACTCAAGGAGAACTGGCTTTTCCGTGAAATAAAAGGCTTAATAAAAAAGTGAAAGACAATTTAAATACCACTCTCTGGACATGGTTTTGCACCGCCAGTTCATAGTGCTGAAATTCACAGCCTTCTCAGGAGGAGGAATATGGACAAAAGATGTAGAAGCCACAGGAGCTGCACCAGCAAGGCAAACTTTCCAAACACATGTATATGTCCATAGTCAAAACTTCTGAGAGACCTCACACTGATTAAATGTAGAAATGTAATTCACAGGCTCTTCTGTTTCGCATGGCCAACTGTATGTGCCCACACAGAACTTCAAGCATAGATAGCTTTGAGCACCAAAATAAGCCCTATTTGAGGCTCTGAATTTACATCCCTCAGAGCATTAATTACATCTTAAACTAGTGGTTAGCTGCATTTTTTCAAAAGCAAATCTTTCAAGAAAACAATGATCCTATCCAGAAGTGATTCTCTTGATTATAAACAGTGTCAGGAACACCTGTTCTCTACAAAAAGTTTTGCTGTGGCCACACATGGCCACTGAGCTCAGCACAATTAATGAATAGGTCAGCTGGATTGACTTGACTCAGCCACAACATTGTAGACTTTGAATGCACTAGTACACGTGAGTAAAGGCAGTAGAGTAAATTCTGTAAGTCACTAAGAGCAAATTAGTGCTCTCGGAGAACTGGCTGACTGGCTGCACCAAGAGGGTAGTGGTGAACAGCTCCTTTTCCAGCTGGGGACCTGTTGCTGGTCAGATAAGTATTGAAAGACTGTTCAGCGTCTTCATGAATGAGCCAGATGATGGGATCAAATGTACCCTGATGGAGTTTGATGATGAGTTGGAAAGGGGACACTTTGGAAGGGAGAGACACCCTCCAGGATAACCTGGATAGGCTGGAAGAATAGGCTAACAAGAACCTCACGAAGTTCAACAAGGGCAAGTGTAAGGTCTTGCACCTGGTAAAAACAGACCTAGAGTGCAGCACAGACTGGGATCTACATGGCTGGGGAGCAGCTCTCTGGAAAAGGAGCAGGGGGTTGAAATGGACAAGCTCCATGTAGGTGAACAGTGTGCTGCTGTGCCAAGTAAAGCCAACAGAATGCTGGGTTACATCAACAAGGGCATCACCAGTACAGATAAAAATGTCACTATCCCACTCAGAGATTATCAGGCCACACCTGGAATACTGTGTTCAGTTTCGGTCCCCACTATACAAAAAAGAAGTGGAAAGGCTGGAGAGGGTCCAGAGAAGGGCCACAAAACTGATCCAGGGACTGGGTATCCTGCCATACAAGGAAAGGTTGAGAGAACTGGGTTTGCTCAACCTTGAGAAAAGAAAGCTCGGGAGAGACCTCATCACCATGATCCACTATTTAAAGGCTGGCTACAAAGATGATGGAGACTCCCTTTTTAAAAGGAGTCAAATGAACAACACAAGGGGTAACGGGCACTAGTTCCTCCTGGGAAGATTCCAGTTGGACAGAAGAAGAAAACTTTTCACAATGAGAATGATCAGCCATTGCAATATCTCCTTAGAGGACTGGTGGATTCCCCAGTTTTGGATACTTGTAAAATTCAACTGGACAGGGTTCTGGGACGTCTGGTTTAGGTCATACTTGCCTAGAGAAGTTGTACCAGATGATCCTTGAGGTCCCTTCCAACCTGGTATTCTATGATTCTGTGAACCGTTGATTATTTAAGAGGTGAAAGGAACACTTAAAGGATAATGCAAGCTCCTAGAGATACAGGCTTTTTAAACCAATTTTAGTTAATTAATCCTGCCAAATTAATGTTGGGAAACCCTAAGCATTACTTTCAAAACATATAAAAATAAAAAGGATGAGATTTGGAAAGTTTTGATTTTAACTGAATACTCTCTGCTTCTTTGCATAGCTCTTTTCTCTCGTTGTTTGTTTTTTTTTTTTTTTCCCAATAAAATTTATAGATGCAGTCTGGTGTTTATATAGATTTGAAGTAGCCCATATGGGGAAGGACTGAGCCGAATACAAAAGTTTAGTTTCACCCTGAATCAGAAGAAAACATAAACATTTTGCAATGTTTCCTGAGCAGAACTCCAAAGATTTAGACTCTAAATATGAGAATGACCATTTCAATACATGCAAGAAGGGCAACATCATACACACTCCTTGTAGGCCCAATCAGAACAACATTAGCTCTTGCTGCTGTGTGGTTACACCTAACTGACCCAAGTAAAACAGGAGAGAGAATTTCAGGACTCCCCAACCGCTGCCTCTCTTAACATCACTCTTACTTTTCCCCTTAAATTGTCCTTTTCCTCCTCCTTGTTTCTAGGGTTCCCTTTAGGCTATGGCTATGCAGTACTCGAGGGTGATTAAAGATAAGAGTATTGTCTAGGGGGACAGTATTTAAAAGGATGAGCTCCCGCCAAAGCAGCTGGATAGACTGTGGCTGCACGGAGATGTTTTGGAAACAAGATCTATGCGGGATTATACAGAAGTTTAGCTTCACCCTGAATCAGAAGAAAAGATAAACATTTTGCAATGTTTCCTGAACAGAACTCCAAAGATTGAGACTCTAAATATGAGAATGACCATTTCAAGACATTTCTTTTTCATCCTTGCAAAACACGTTAATGCAGTTTTAAACATTGCATCTAAATAGTCAGTATCAGTTCTGTTCTGAGAGGAACAGGTCTTTTCAAAGTAGACATTTTGGCAGCATTTCCTTAAAATGCCGAATTATGTTTATGAATCTGTCCAAACTTTTCCAACCCCTTGTATTTCCACATCACCATCCCTCCCGCTAGCAAGACTTTCTGCACGGCTCCAAGTCACTTTGTCCTGGATTTTGTGAGATCTACATCTGTAAAGTGAAATCAGATCTTTAGTATAGGTGGGATGTGATCCCTTAACGGCTTTCTGAGTTAGCATCCTGGGTTCAGCTGGAGCGCGCCAGCATCACGTGGCCACTCGAATGAGACAGCACCAGCACCAGTATGTGAACTTGTGTGAATTAATTGCCTGTGAATGAACCGTGTAGTATACATCTTTGATGGCTGTGTGACCCGAGGGACAGCCCCCTGGCCTTCCAGCGTGTGTTGATGGGAGTCATTGGAAGGTTGAGTGCCAGCGGCAAGCCAGGGGCCACCCTGGGGGTTTTCCGTGCGCAGAACGTGGCTGGCTTGCGTTCGCCAGCGCGGCAGGGAACCAGCAAGGGGCACAAGGCGGCGGGCCCCGTCCGCGGACAAGGCATATTGGTTTTTGGGATGCCGCAGGCAAAAGCTCGTGGCGGTGGATTGCGGGGGGCTTCGAACCCCTGACGCGCTGTACGAGTCCCCACTGCACCCGCTGAGACTCCGCAGCCGTACTAACCGCGCCACCGAGCCACCTGCTGGTGGGGGTTAGCGGCGGGCTTTAAACCTCGACCGGGAGGAGCAACGCTTCAATGGGATTGCTAAACCAGACGAGGAACAAGTTAGGGACGTCAGCATGAATCCCATGTGATGGTGGCGGAGCATGCAGCACTGCCAGCCATTTGCCTGTACCTGCCATAAACTTCATTACTTCCACTGACTGCACCATATTGCAGACTAGAGCAGCTCTGCAGGAAGGAAGCGAGTGTGTAACAGTTACCAAGTCCTAAGAAAGAATGAAGGTTTCTATCAAGACGGTGAAAGAAGGGCACTTTTAGGAGTTCAGCAGCTCGGCGAGGAGGCAAACGTGAACCCAGCCCGTTGTACTATTTTGACAGGGAAGATCTGCGTGGTTCCAGCACAAGGTACATTTCCCAGTCAGCCGCTCTCACCTTACCTGGATGCCTTTCCAGCCAGCAGGTCTTTAAGGTCTGCACACTTGGAGCTGAGTAGGGTGTCACGGCTATGTCAGCAGTGAGTGAGACATGTCTGTACCTGCATGCTGTCATTTTAGAGTTAAGCAAGTGCCATCCAGAGGAAAATGACACAACAAGAACTATCTACAAATAATTAAAGGCATGTCATAAAGTAGGCCATTTTTTTGATTAATCAAAGAAGACCGAGGAATTCATTTAACATGTAGTAGGGAAAATTTAGGTTACGCTTTAGGAAAGACTGTGTAATATCTGACCAAATACGAGCTCATGTACAAAACGGAGTTTGCCACCAC